GTTGAAGTTACCAATATTTGTTTTGTCCTTTTCCTATTACAGTGACACATGGCTCTGCTTTACCTAAACCATCACTTCTAATTTGTCTGCTAAATCTTGAGTTTCGGTTAAAGAAGCAGTTTTTATCTCCCGTGGGGAACTCTGCGCTGCTGTGTGATTTTCTCCCTGTGTGCGTCCCGGAGAATAAACCAAAGCTCTGTTAAAATGCAAAGCAGCCCCCCGTGCAGCCATGTGGGGGAATAGAGGCCATATTTTAGCCGTGCTGCCCGTCAGCAAAATGTTTCTGGAGGAAAGCTAATTCTACTGTGAGACTTACAGCTCTGCCAGGCCAGCCGACAGCACTCGATGCTATCTGGATTAAATTAAGGTGAATTAGAGACAAAGAGGCAGAAAGAGGGGGAAAAGGGATGATGTTAGGGCAGGATTTTCCTCCAGCTGGGTGATCACTTCTTAGTCTTAGGTCATTGATCAGAGCAGAATAAACCAGCTGGGATTAAAGTAGACAAGCACAAAACCTATAGAGACTATATCTGTGTGTACGTGTCGGTGTGCCAGTGTGTACGTGTGCTGTGTGTGAATCCATTGTCCTCTGACGATGAAGAAGTGTCGCAGCAGCAGGGTGGAGTAATGACCAAAGTTTGGTTTGGTGTTTAAAATGTTACACTTGTGTTTAACAGCGTTCTCCCAGCTTTTCTTTGGGAAATAAATAAGATCAAGGCTCAGTATCTCACACTTCACGTTTACTTCGTGCAGCGTCTTTCCTTAGATTAAAGGGATCATTCACAGTAATAACAGCTCTGTTTTATCTGAGTCAGGGGAAATGCAGCTCGCTACCTTTAACTGTCTGCGATGTTACGTTTCACACGGATAGAAGTCACTGGAATTCACTTGTTTTGTTTTGAAGGGACTTCAGTGTTTTCTGATGTTCTTGATATCGCCGGCTGCTATGGAAATTTTGCGTGTTAAGACAAATACACACATGGGTTTCATTGTCATCAGCAAAAAGAGAAAAGCATGGGATGCCCACAGGTAGACAGAATTCAATAAGCATTGCAGACGACTGTAGTGGTTTGAATCCCAGAGCTGTTTGAAGACCTTACAACATGCATCCACACAGTGGGACACTGCTCGGACCTGTTGCTTTGAAATTGAAAATTTAATTTGAATTTGAAATTTACCAATTCTGTGAAGTTTGGCGTATCTCCTCCCTGCAGTGCTCGAGTTTCCCCCAACATCAGACAAACTGAACATCCGTGTGCGTTGTGTTGTGTTGTGTTGTGTTTGTACTGTGCTTGTACGACACACTGCTAAGCTAAAGCTGCTATTGTAGAGGGGTGCATTGTTTCTGTGTTACTTGTGTTCTGTCTGCAAATTAGGGAATCTATAATTACATTTTTAAGTAGCTTTAAGGCTAAAATTTTAAGGCATTTTGATAATGCCTATTTGTTGTTATATTTTATTTATTATATGCATTCTCTTCTCCCCTGCTAAACTTAGAACCTAAAGGCTGAAATACAAGTTCAGAGATTTGGTGCTTTATCTGCTCCCTGTGTGACGCCACACAGAGGAACCATACATGCAGCGTGTTTAATTTCATGTTTAATTTGATTACATATCTTAATCCACTTCATATGTGTACGTGTGCATTTCACATGTCATAAATATGGCCTCATTTCTCTCCCTCTTAGACCTCCCACCAGGTGTCTGTATTTGCGGCTGCATTAATGAGGGCTAATTAGGCTTTGATTGTTGTTAATTGTTGCTTGTTAGCCAAATTGTGTTTTGTAATATGAAGTGTTTTAATTGGTCGTGTCCTGGATCAGGAGGTGTGTACACAGGTTTGCAACACGGTTAACTGACTCTGTCTTATGGTTCAGCTGTAAGTGTGTGTGTGTGTGTGGTTGTGTAGGTGTGTGTGTGTGTGTGTGAGACTGTCTGTCTGTCTGTCTGGGGGGAGGGGATGTTTTAGTAATCATTCAAGGACTCATCATTTGTAAACTAATTCTAACATTTTAATGGGCTTTATCAGCAGTAACACAGCAGCCTTCTACTGCACACACACACACACACACACACGCATGCACACACACACAAGGAGGTATTACAGACTAATGAAAAAGAGGCCTTTGGGATTAAGAGGTTAGTTTAACGTTAGGTTTTACTGCTCCTCATAACGCTAATCACTGTGATTATTATGCTGCTAGACTGGATTGTGTGTCTGTGTGTGCGTGTCCTTAGCCGTTAATAGCGTTGCAGCCAATACACACACACACACACACACACACGCACGTACATTTGTGTTATGGAAATGACCCCTGTGTGTATAGGAGTGTTGTGTTCTGCATTGTAGCCCAGCCAATGGCTAACAACCTCACCAGGAAATTAAAAACCATAAATTTTGCTTAGCACTGATAGCAGCTCATCACACCCACATGTATGCACACACACACACACACACACACACAGCTGGTTAACAAGACACTGCAAAAAATCATTGTCCCCTCTCCCCTCAGCCAAAGGGCTCACACGGCCCTGAGCAGGAGACTAGCTCAGTGGGAACTGTTGGCCATTCTGCATGTGTGCGTCTCATGGTTTTCTGATCGAGTATGTGTTTGTGTAATTGTGGTTTGTCTGCTTCAATCAGAAAACATTTCTGTGCATGCGTGTTCTTAAGAAGTAGATGATATTCTACATTTTTCTCATTGTCTACAACTTCCCTATGAAAAGACTTCAACCAACACCGGATTTATTCTGCTCATCAGTGGAAGTGTTGCGTTTATCCAAGGCCTGATGTCTAACAACAGCACAGCAGTGGGCCACGTTGCTGCTCGAGGTGACAAACACACAGACTGTAGTTTATTTTATCTGAGTCCTACAGTCAAACTCGTCCTGCCTTAAATACTCACGGGAAGACCAGACGTGTATGAACGCATAGCTGACAATAGACCCCAACAAATGTGTCGTTTCCACCGTTGAGGAACATTTGATAAAAACTGAATTTAATGGGGGGCTGCAAGGTGGCGCAGTTGGTAGCACTGTCGCCTCGCACCAAGAAGGTCGCCGGTTCGCGTCCCGGTGGGGGCACCGGGATCTTTCTGCGTGGAGTCTCCATGTTCTCCCCGTGCAGCGTGGGTTCTCTCCGGGTTCTCCGGCTTCCTCCCACAGTCCAGAAACATGCTGAGGTTAAATGGTGATTGTAAATTGTCCGTAGGTGTGAATGTGAGTGTGCTTGGTTGTCTGTCTCTAAGTGTAGCCCTGTGATAGACTGGTTACCTGTCCAGGTGAACCTGCCTTCACCCTGTCGGCTGAGATAGACTCCAGCCCCCCGTGACCCTAGTGAGGATTAAGCGGTGGATGGATGTATTAAATGGTATCGCCCTTATATTCCACCTTTTAACCTCAGCTAGGTCGTACAAAGCGCTTCACAATGTGTTTCTCGTTCACCTGTTCACACTCACACAGCAGCAGTGGCGGAGCTGCAATGCAAAGTGTCTGCCTGCCATCGTGGGGTTCCACTTCTGCACATGTGTTTGTGTGTGTGGTGGTAAATTTAGAGTTTTGCAGACTATTTGGATGTGGCAATAAGGCAGCTTTGCTATTTTCTTGCGGTGGTGTCTTTGAGGATACACCACATACTTAGCTCCGCCCACAATGACTGATCAGTTTAAAGAAATACTAACAAGCCAGACTGGTTTATATATATCACAATGACGGTACATGGTGCAGTCAGACCATTGTGTTCTGTCGGAATTTATTTTATGTCAGATTGAATTTACTCGAGCAGCGAGCTTTGCTGTATAATTATCCAAGTACTTAACAGTCTGGGCTGTCGTTGTGAGCTGCTTTATGTGATGTCTTCAGCAGAACGCGGACATTAGTGCCGTTCACTTTGCTTTCAGGAAGCGTAGGTTTGTTGTCCTGATGGGCCGGAGTTTGTCCAGTCTGTACGAACACAATCATTTATGATGGAAAGCTGTGAACCCGCAAAAAAACATGAAACAGACCATATGACAACTACTCACTACCGCCTGCTACGACGTAGTGTGCTGTCGGGAAAGTCGTTTTTCTATGTGACCCTAAAGAGTTCACGTGATGCTTTTTGGGTTTTCATCTTTAGTTTTGCGTCTAGCGGATGTAAACGGTCTTACGAAGTCCACACCAAATGGACTTGTTCTCTCCTGTACTGCTCCCTGCCTGCCTCATTCGCCTCGTTTGGCCTTTTTCTTTCTGTTGCTCATCTACGTCTCCATGCAGCACTTTTCCATAACGCCTGGCTTACGGCTAGTTTGGATTTGAGACAAAGACTGAGCAGCTTCCTTGCAGTCTCACATTATTTCCTCGTTAGAGCCACCTCTGGTAGATCTCTGTCTGTATTTACTAACCAACAAAATCGATTTGGTTGGGCCGGCTGACCAATCAGAGCAGACTTGGGGGTTTGAAGAGACAGGAGCTAACATGGAGGGTTTCAGATCGGGGATGAGAGGAACTGCTTCAGAAACATAATGTGATGAAATAATGTCCTTTTCAAACATGAAGACATTCAAAAACAAAATTATAAATCTGTTAATGTGCATAATATCTGCTCCAAAATGCGGATTTGTTTTGCAGCCACACCCTGTTCAATACGACGCATTTACATGAAACCTGAAATAGGAACTGAGTGAAAGTTATTGACGCACGTGTGCACACGAGGTTTTCTACATCTGGGCAAAGTGGATACAGAAAAAGAACAAGAAAGAGGAAATTAAACCATCTTTTTAGTTGGTTTCTTTAAGGTTGGGTTGCTCATGTTGTTTCCAGCACTGATGTTAGCTCTTCAGTCCTCTGGTGACCTCGTGTAATAGGATGTTAGGATTATTATGTCATTGTACACAACACAAACTGATCCTCTTCAGTGTCTTGTAGTTACAGGTTGTATATTTTTTGTATTTAAATGAAAATGAATGTTTTTCTAATTTTACTGTACTACCAAAAGTAAAACCTTCCCTCGTCTTCCTCAGATGAAGGCTTCTTCAGACGGAGACGACGACGATGACGATGATTTTGACGAGGTTCCCGAAAAAGAGGGCTTTGAGCCTCACATTCCAGAGCATCTGCGAGCCGAGTATGGTGAGTTTAAACACACACACACACACCTACACACACACACACTCACACACACGCATACCTACAGACACGTGCATAAATAGTGAGGTTAAGCTACAAAAGAAGACCTGCTGCTTCTCTAATCTCTTAAGATTCACACACATACTCTACAAACAAACACACACACTTGGTCACACTTCAAAGAGCCGGCCTTCAGCAGCTGCTAAAGTGCAGGTAAAGTGCTTCTTAAGTGAGTTTATTTATGTGTGTGAGAGTGTCCGCAGACGTTGCCCCAGAAAAAAACCAAAGGGAAAGATGCTCATGGTACCAACAGACTAGCGTGTTGTCAAACTGAATTCATCACATTTAAAAAAATAAATAAATGAAAAGTGCTCTGATGTGATTGTGAGAATCTGAATAGTGATAAAGTTGTGATATTATGAAATAATTTGACACCAAACCTGAAATGTAATGACACATCGTCTCATGGTTTCTTAGTCCAAACCTTGAACGGTAGGCGATCTTACATTCAGATAAAACTTAGTTTTAACCTTATCTGAGTTTGTAAACTGTATTTTGTGCTTCCTTAAAAAAGCCAGTGAGGTTTTTGTTATCAAAAAAACAAAACAATGAAAAAGAGGCAAACTCCGTGTTTGAAAGCCAGACCAAATGAACAATAAGTAGACGACGAGCCGTTCTTAATTCTGAGTTCAAAATGTGTGCTTGTGCATTATTTTGGTTTCTGAACCACATCGTCTTCTCCAGTATTTAGGAGCCTATTAGTACAGAGCTTTTATACATGACCTAATTCTCATTAAGATGGTTAATTTTAACCCAAATGTGTCTTTACCCAACCAATAGTCTGTCTGAACTGAGGAGTAACTGTGTTTAAAGGCATGCCTTGCTCTTTAGCAGTGGGGGTGTCCATAAAAATCACCATCTTTTACATACGCCGTAACCCATCTCAGTGGTTATTCATGTTTGTTTTTGTTTTTTTTACCTTTAAAATGTGTAACAATATGTCGTCACTTTTGACAGTTTCCTTCTTCTACATCCAGTTGAGCATCCAGTTGTGTTTCCCTCCATCCAGTTACAATACATCCACCCTTCTGCAGCACTATTTTGGTTTTCATGAAAGCTATTGGAAATATCTGTAGCTGCTAAAAGGTCCACTGTGTTCATCAGCTAGCCTCGATATTGCACAGTGGGTTTATCAGAACTTTGTCACTGAAAACAGCTGCTGCTGGAAAGAGGCTTATCAATTCAATTCAATTCAATTTTATTTGTATAGTGCATATTTACAACAGGTCATCTCATAGCGCTTAACAAAGGCAGAAACACCCAACAATCCAAAACGTTTCGATTCCCTATAAGCTTCAGCAGTCCGCAAGCAGTCCGCAAGCAGTCCGCAACAGTGGGAAGGAACCAAAAACCCCCGCAGGGGAAAAAACACCTCCGACAGAACCAGGCTCAGGGAGGGACGGCCATCTGCTTCCACCGGTTGGGTGGATGTAGGATGAATTATACAATTTAGTTTACAGTCAAACAAGTTATTAGACGTTATTGTCCTTTTGTTGCTCCATTTCAAATGGACCAATGAAATATTCCATTTCGTGGTTGGTGGAGGTAACAGGAGGCATCATGGTGGGGCAGCAGGATACAGAAGGTGAGGCCAGCGGCTGTAGTTCAGGAGCTCCAGATCCAGAGACATCCACAGAGAGAACAGGAGAACCTCGGGGGGAGTCACAGAGTTAGTCATATGTACCGGTGATATACAACTATATAAATATACACATACACATATATATACAGAGGAGAGGAGAGGAGAGAAGCCCAGTGCATCATGGTAGTCCCCCCGGCAGTCTAAACCTATAGCAGCATCACTTTTGGAGCTGTAAAAGTGAATCAAACAGTGAATTTGTGGGCATTGAAGCCAAAACAATGGACTGAAAGATGCTCATGTGCCCTGTAGAGCTGAAGGGAACTGCAGGATCGTCCCTAAATTAACCCTTTCACATTACACACAATTATTCGATTAATTATTCTTAAAAATGTTTATTCGTACAGCCCCACAACGGGTGTGTTTATTTACTGGGACTGGTGCTACAGTGAGGGAAAGCTGTTTGTATTTACTTCATTTTGTGTGAACCCAGGAATGATAGCGTCATAAATTCCTGCTGAGCCTGACCGGCCCACAGTGGGCGAGTTGGTAAACTGGCCGCTTCTCATACGCTGGGTTCTGACTGTTAAGTATGTGTTTTGTCTGATTTGGAATGCAGCACAGCCTTGTAATGGAGACAGATAGTTTCTTTTCCTCGAGCATTTTCCCTGTATATCTTTGATGGATATGTCCTGTCAACAGATCCGTTTACCTTCACACACACACACACACACACACACACACAGAGTCGTCAG